TGGGAGTCTTCAACTGGGGAGGACAAGCACCTAAATCATTCGGACAAACCGGGCTGTGGCTGTACGTTGGGTTTTCGTCAGCCCGCAGCAACGCCGGTTGATCGGCTCTGATCCCCCCAGGGGCCCGGTCCAGACCAGGCCGCGGGGGGGTTTTACCCCCGGGAAATCTCTCCGGAAACTCCAGGTAAAAATTACAATCAATGACCCCTCACCTTTTTTTTCCCTTTATCAATTTATGGTTTAAACCTCTTCTTTTCTTCCCTTTTTCTGTTTGGGTTTTTAAGGGGGACGCAGCATACGGCGTATTGAGCGAACCTCATCCCTTTATAAAAAACCCTCCACTGATAAATCAACTCCCCAAAAACAGGAGGGCCCCCCTTTAAAGGCGGTTTGGTTCCCCGGGTACCACCCTAAAGCGGAAAACCCCCGTAAATGGAACACCCTTTTTTTTTTTTTCCCCTTTACAAAAACTACAAACACTAGATAAGTTTACACTAAAATATTTATGTTACAAAAGAACCAGGCATCAAAAAACAATAAAAAAGAACAATCACACAGTCACCATTACTTCCTTAAAATATTTATAGTTTAACTAGGGGGAGACAAGTAGATTTTTTGTAGAAATCAAGTGGGTATGTATGGGATCAGCCAGGCTACCATACCAGGCCACCCCACCCACACATACTATTCTATGATTTTAAGCTCCCCGAGCGATAAAAATTTTATACGTTCCTCATTACTTCCCTTAAAAAATAGGGTGAGATGAGTAGTATTTTTGAAAAATCAAGTTGGTATGTTGGGACGGCAGGTACCATACCAAGAAAGAATGAGTGCATGAGAGGGACAGGGGGCAGAGTTATGTAAACAAACCAGGGGAAGGTAAATTTTGTAAACAGTACACTTTGGTTTGTGTACAAGTTACATTGTGTACAGGTTGTCTCTACATTATTGGTAGAATAAATAAAGAAGAACACTCCCCTTTTTTCCCGTAAATCATTTTAAGAAGAAAGAAATGCTTAGTGAAGGCAATGGAAGTAATCATCTGCATTTTTTGGGTTTCCCAGGTTCTTACACATATGTTATGATTTATGTAGTATCATGTTTTATTATATAATTTTTAAAAAAATATCACGGGTGGATTTTAAAGAAAAGTTATTTTCGAAAAAAAACAACAAAATTTAATGATACACCGACCAGACAGCGTAAAAAAACAAACTGAAAAGGTTTTGGCGATCCTCGGTCGGCAAATAGACGGTTTAATAGTGTCCAGTTTTTGTTCATTCGTACATTGTAAAAGTTTGTGAAAATTTTTACCTTTTAAAAATTTTTTTTTATTATTATTATAATTTAAAACACGAAACAAATACTCTTTCATGTGTACAATTGTAAGAATTTTAAACTAAAAGTAAGGCATCAAAGGAATTTTTTTTTCTACATTATCCCCATAAACAGGGACGGGGTAGAGAAAACGTAATTCTTCCGAAATTCTACAAACCCTTTGGGAAAAATTCATTATTTTGTATAAAAATTTTTAATGTGGGGGCATGTATCGTTTGTGTGTTACTAAAGTGTTTCTTATATAATTTTGAAAAAAATTCTAATAATTTAAGGGGAAAAGTCAAATTAAAATAATATCGAATTTAAGCGCCCAAGAGATTATTATTATTATTATTATTTTTATTATTTTTGATCAAGGTAGAGGACTTAGTGATTTTAATGTGTACCACTGCCAGCACAGTGTGTAAATTTATTTAAGAAAGGGATACCAATTAATTTTAAAGTACAATAATATAAAATACAAAAAACTTTTTTAAAAACTTGAAATTTTTTGGAAATTTCCCGACATAATAAGATGGTCAGGGAAATGTAAACAACTCTGGGCAGCGTGACCCTATTAAAAGACAGGTGGGGGGGGCCTATAGGGGGTTTTGGTCATAATTTGAAATTCCGATTACGGGAAAGCCGTAAGGAAACCCGTTTTAAAGCGGGGCCCCGCTGATCTTAAAACTCCCAATGGATATTCAATTTTTCTTCATCGAAAACATTTGATCCCTATCCCCTTTCTCTTACCTCATTCATTTAAAACTATCACCTTTACACACCCTCCCAAACTCGTCCACAACCACGAAATCGAAATGACGCGATTGCAAAACAACCCTACCCCGGGGGAATGAACCCGCAACCAGAATCTTAACTCCAGACCCTTTGGGGTTTGCCACCGGGCCATAGTGGTCCAGTGGGTAACGCGAGGTCCCGGAGTTTTGAGACCTCTGATCGCGGGGTTTATCCCCCCCCATGGGATGGTTTCATCCATAAACCCTTGCAAATTTTTTTTTAGAATTCCCCTAACCGGTATCATCAGCAAAAAAGTAACTGTGTAAACTCCCAATTTGTATTTGATTCCCCCCAAATTTTTTTCCCCCCCCTCTCCCTAACACCCTGATTTATTCTTTTACAACCCCATGTATAAAATATTAAAAAATCATGGGGGACTTTTCACATCCCTGTTTGACGTACTTTTATGGGGAAATAATCTCCCTCTCCCACACACCCTAACCTGAGCCCTTCCTCATAAAAACCTTACAGCATTTTTGAACTTACTCCTATTCCTACACTTGCAACATCTGCCACATTTGCTCCCCTATCCACCTACCCCATGCCCTTTTTAAAACCTAAAGCAATGAAAACTTCCCACCTTTACTAAATACTGTTCCACATATGCTTAATGTAAACACTTTACTACACATCCCCTAGTCCTCTAAAGCCCCCTTTTCCATTCATTTTTTTTTTTAAAAAAAAACGGGGCCCTTTCCCCCCGAGGCAGGGTGACCCCAAAAAAAAAAAAAAAAAAAGGAGAAAAATCATCAACAAAAACTTTTTCCCCCACACTCATACATAATCACTGTCTTTTCAGAGGCCTCTGATACCAGTTTGAAGTCCTCATATTCATATCTAGGGGGACAAAACCCCCAAAACAATATGGCCTTTGGAAAGGATTTTTTATTTGGGGAATGTTTTAAAACCCGTAGGGGTCATACAGCAGTGGAGGAAGGGGGGGCAAGTCACTTCAACCAAGAGAGGGGGGACAAATTCAGTTCCAACAAAGCCTCCGAGGCATAAATAACACCCTTGGGAAAAAATGTATTGTTCCCCCGAAAAACCCTCTTTACCCTAAATGATGACAAAACTAGAAGGCACCTCCCGAATTAAAAAAAAAACTTAGGAAAACCACCTGATCAACAAGAGAACAACTGTGCAATGCTTTCAGTAATACTAGTGGCAAGCAAAATGGAGGAGCCCTTATCTTCATTTTCCACTTCTGGTCCCATGTAACTTCCCTGAAACACGGTGGCCCCAAAGACCATCTGATGTCCACAGAGGTCACCCCTTTTCATATTTTATTATAATAAAAAAGAAGCGCTAAGCCACTCACTTGCACTATGATGATGAAATTTCCATCCATAGTGACCAACCACCCCAGCCCCACCAAAAAAAAAAAAACTGTTAGAACGGGCCAATATGATTTGTTTTTTTTTGTTTTACTGGGGTTCATAAAGGGGAAAAATTCCAAATAATGCAGCCAAGAGCGAGGGAGGGTTTGGGGCAGGCAATTTGGTTATTGAGGAAGGGGAAGAAGCCCCCCATTGGATCAAGGCCCTGGGCAATTTAAATTCCTCTTTTAAAAGGGTCCGATAGAGTAAACCCAAGGGCTTTACCCCCGTTCCCCAACATTTTTAAAGCGAGACATATATTTAATTTCCCCATTTTCATACACATTGCAAAATATGTCCATAAATTTTTTCAAACTCCTAAATTGTCTTACAAGCTATCCAAATTTACAGTATAAGTTACCCCCCTCAATCATTTCAAAAAAGCCATTCCAAGGGTTTTAAGGTGAACAGAGACAATAATGTAAGGAACCGCCCGACATTTTCCCCTCATCCAGGATGGCCTGGAGTGCCACGGTGTACTATGGCATTTTTCACGGAGCCCCAAAGCCCCCTTTTTTTTACTGCATCTCCTCCCTGTCATTCAGTAAGTAGCTTTTGATCTAGCATTTCTTGTGGGAAATGTACGTTAAAACTGTTTGGCCTCTACCACATCAAACAAAAGTGCTTAATAAAAAAGGGTATTTGCTCACTTGATTTTTTAAATTAATTTTTTATGTGGTTCATAAGATGTGCACCATCAAAATTTTTTAAGGGTAAAGAGGTTCAACAACACCAACTTTGTAAAGTAGTACAAAAATAATAATAAATATAATAATTTTTATTTTTTCAAGTACATGTCAAGGTATACAGGCTAGCTAAACAATGAATATACAAAATAGAAAGCCATTTTTAGCAGGTATTTTGGGAAATTTCAGTTTTTGTCCCGGTCAAACCCCACCCGTCGACTAACCCCAGGTTTCCCATTTTATGACGGGGAAGACACCCATGTGAAGAAGCACGCCCAGTGTTTCTACCCTTGCTGGGAATCGAACCCAGACCCTTGCTGAGTGAAACGAGAGCTTTAGCCACCAGGCCACAGAATGGAATGTATAAAAATGATTTACATTGGATGAGTAAATGAAACTAGAAGATACCAGTTGATTTATTAAGTTTAGAACTTATTGACTACATTGTGGTCATTAAGGCTGCATATCACTTGTAGAACACTAATAAAAGATAATCCCTAATTTAGGGATTACAGTAAACTTAGTCCACACATCTCACGGTGTGTATGAATATGTACTTGCCTACGTATCTTTTTTTTTTATATATTTGCAGCCATGCATTTTATTATAATTTTTTACCAGTATGTGTTGTACCAGTATGTTAATGGATTTGATCGTACAGTATGGCAATACAGAGTTTTTATTGAAAATTATTTACGAAATATTGTACCATAAGTAAGCTTATGTGGCATTCAAATAACTCTTGCTGATTTCACTGTTAAGAAATTAGAATTTTTAGCTCGAAAACACAGTATTTTTTTAAAAATTTTTAACTGTTTTGACGAATATTTAATTTTTATGAAGGAACTACACCATCACCTTTTGACAAATTTTCAAATGGTGTAGAACCAACGACTGTACAGAGATTCTTCAATCCATTCAACAGCCACATGTGTGGCATTCATTGCTTGCAGACTGCTAAGGAAATCTGTGCAGAGCTTCTTAATCCTTTTGTCAATAACTGTATAGTCATCACCTGTAATAATATTTAAAATAAATATTAGTAGTAATACATTATGTGCACTGTATGTGATGTTTTATTTATTATTATTATCACACTGGCCGATTCCCACCAAGGCAGGGTGGCCCGAAAAAGAAAAACTTTCACCATCATTCACTCCATCACTGTCTTGCCAGAAGGGTGCTTTACACTACAGTTTTTAAACTGCAACATTAACACCCCTCCTTCAGAGTGCAGGCACTGTACTTCCCATCTCCAGGACTCAAGTCCGGCCTGCCGGTTTCCCTGAACCCCTTCATAAATGTTACTTTGCTCACACTCCAACAGCACGTCAAGTATTAAAAACCATTTGTCTCCATTCACTCCTATCTATGTGATGTGTACTATGTAATTACATATTTGTAGGGAAGTTAGTATGGACCCATGCTAACTTCCTTATGGTGTATAGAAATATTCCTAGTTGGAACCAGCTGGTCGAGTGGCTTATGCACTGGCCTGGAGTTCTAGGACTCGCTTGCCATGGGTTCAAACCCCATGGTTGCAGAAATGCTAACAAAGAAATAGGTAGATATGCTAAAATCAGATAAGATAGGATTTTGTTTGGATTTTTAACCCCGGAGGGTTAGCCACCCAGGATAACCCAAGAAAGGCAGTGCATCATCGAGGACTGTTTGTCTTATTTCCATTGGGGTCCTCAATCTTGTCCCCCAGGATGCGACCCCACACCGGTCGACTAACACCCAGGTACCTATTTGCTGCTAGGTGAACAGAACAGGTGTGAGGAAACGCACTGAATTATTTCCACCCCGCTGGGAATCGAACCCAGGCCCTCCGTGTGTGAAGCGAGAGCTTTGCCATCCAGGCCACTGTTCAATGTATGGAAGGAAAAAACTGAGGCAGAAATATAACTGGAACTGGATGAATATAAATATGTTAGAAAAATACTTAATTATTTATAAGAAAATGCTTTCTTCGTGGAGAAGTGGGAAAAGAATCTTTCCTCCATAAGCCATGCATATCGTAATAAAATTGCCAATAAAATCCCACGTACCAATGTCCATGCCGGGGACTACCTAGATGGGAATTTCCCAAATTCCTTCTATCTTGCTCCAACTGAGCCCACGGAAGTCACCGAGATTATAAAGTCACTTAAAAATAACTCAGGGAATCTGTCTCATGTCCCACCATTATTGTACAAGAGAGCGGCCCATGTCCTCTCGCATACTATCTCATTGCTTTTTAACAAGTCACTAGAAGCTAGCACCTTCCCGAAACTACTCAAGACGGCAAGGGCTACACCAATACATAAAGGTGGTGACCCTACAGATTTAAACAACTATAGGCCAATATCAAACTTACCATTGCTATCCAAAATCTTTGAGAAACTCGTGCACAGGAGACTATATTCATTTATAACGTCACAAAACATACTCAACCCCTGCCAATAAAATAAAAGCACTAACGATGCAATTATAAAAATACTAGCTCTGCTTTACACAGCATTGGAAAATAAGGAATATCCACTAGGAATTTTTATTGACCTAAGAAAAGCTTTTGACACAGTAGACCACGGCATCCTACTCCACAAACTTGACCATTATGGTATAAGAGGCCATGCGCTTGCATATTTCAAATCTTACCTTACTAATAGGTATCAGTATGTCACCATTAAAGACACAGCATCAACAACACAGCCACTTGATACTGGAGTTCCGCAGGGAAGTGTCCTTGGTCCCCTGCTCTTCCTCATATACATCAATGATCTTCCAAACGTATCTCGACACCTGAACCCCATTCTCTTTGCTGACGACACGACTTACGTCATCTCTCACCCTAATCTTGCAACCCTCAACACCATTGTTAATGAGGAGCTGATCAAAATATCGACTTGGATGACAGCCAATAAACTTACGCTTAACGTTGACAAAACCTACTACATTATGTTTGGTAGCAGAGCAGGAGATGCACAAATTAACATTAAGATTGACAACACTCTAATTACCAGGCATAATGAGGGCAAATTCCTAGGCCTATACCTCGACAACAACCTGAACTTCAGCACCCATATCCAACACATAACCAAAAAAGTATCCAAAACGGTTGGGATCCTCTCCAAGAACGATACAAACGTGCCGCAAACTGCCCTTCTCACACTATACCATTCACTTATATATCCATACCTCACCTATGCTATCTGTGCTTGGGGTTCAACTGCAGAAAACACACCTAAAGCCAATAATAACCCAACAAAAAAGCCACAGTAAGAATAATCACTAAATCCCATCCCTGGCAACACCCCCCCCCCCCCACTTTTCATAGATCTAAACTTACTCCCTGTTCAGTACATCCACACTTACTTGTGCAATCTAAAATCTACGGGACCTTAATTCCAATATTAACCTTGACCTAAAATGCTTTCTTGATAGTTGTGACAGAACCCACAGGCACAACACCAGACACAAACATCTCTGACATTCCCCGTTTCCGACTAAACCTTTACAAAAATTCAATGTATGTCAAAGGCCCTAAAATCTGGAACACCCTACCTGAAAGTTCCAAAACTGCAGACACATTCATCACCTTCAAAACTAATATCAGAAAACATCTTATCTCCCTGATACACCCTGTTAACTAATAATACGAATACCACCTGGTTGTTCACACTTACACTCACTCACCCATTTGACCATAAACAGAAATATCAATCTCAATCTCAAAATAATGAATCTTAACTAGTCATAAGTTGGCCTGTTATACTCCAATACTGAAACTATGTATAGTGCCAAAACAAAAGCATTCACATTGCTAAACTCACAACTAGTATTTAGTCACTTAGCCATAATACCAACTTATCTCATAATTTTGTAACATTTTAAACCTAAGATTTAATATAAGACTGCCCGAAATGCCTAGCCATGCTAGGCGTTCTAGTGGTACACTCTGTAATTATTATTTTACTACATGTAAACCACACAATAACCAAATTCTGTAAACTCAGCATTGTAATGCTTATAGAGAATAAAGTTTGAATTTGAATCGTAAGAAGTGACTAAAATGCCAGGAGCAAGGGGCTAGTAATCCCTTCTGTATAAATTACTATATGTAAAAAGAAGATAAACTTTATAGTACTCTTCTTTTTCAGGTCACACTGCCTCAGTGGGAGATGGCCAGTATATTGAAAAAAAAATGTTTCTTATTACTGTTAACAAAACAAATATTTAAAAGTGAAAAACTTACTAATATAGACTTCAGATGGTACAGTCATACACAAACACCTCATGGTTCTGCTGTATCCCAGGCATACAATATGCTTTGTAATACTCCAGGATGAGAAGTCATTTCTATTAAGTCTTAAGAATGCTAAGGTGGGCATTTGTGTAAGAATGTTGATCAGTTGTGTTAGAAGTTCAGGAATCACGGTATTTAAATTACAATTTTCAACTTCCAGCACTGACACCTGAAAAAAAAAGTAAAAATGAATTTTCTTAAAATTTCCTTCGTGTGAACTCAGTTTAACTTGTAATAAACAACTGTAAATGAATAAACAGAAAGATGGACAAGAGGCTCAAACCTTGGCTCTGATGGTGGCAGGTCTAGTGCTTTGCTGCTATTAGAAGCCCAGTAGCTCAGCGGTAGAGTGCTGGATATAGCACCACAATTTGAGCCTCCTATCTATCTTTTTGTTTTTTCCTTTATATGTTTGAAATTAAATACAGAAGAGAAAAAGTCAGTGATCTGCTCTTAAAAGTCTAAGGAACATTTGGAAACAACAAAAATTAATTTACCAAAGATAGCCTTCAAAATAAAGATTCCAGAGAAGCTGTTAAACCCATGGGGGTCATACATTGCCTAGGGAATGGGAGGTAATCATACTTGATACATGGGATGATTAGATCCATTTCCTTGGATCAAGAGCTGTTTATTAGTATCAAGGCAACCCCCCCCCATCCCCTTTCAGCCTTGAAGGGCAAGGTGATTGCAAGTACCAAGTGTTCAGTCATCAATGATCTCCCACCAGGTGTTCAGTCATCAATGATCTCCCACCAGATGTTCAGTCATCAATGATCTCCCACCAAGTGTTCAGTCATCAATGATCTCCCACCAGGTGTTCAGTCATCAATGATCTCCCACCAAGTGTTCAGTCATTAACCCTTTCAGGGTTTCCGACGTACTAGTATGGCTTACGCACTAGGGTTATTGACGTACTAGAATGCCTGTATTCTAGCGCCTTCAAATCTAGTGAGAGAAAGCTAGTAGGCCTACATATGAAAGAATGGGTCTATGTGGTCAGTGTGCACAGTATAAAAAAAATCCTGCAGCACACAGTGCATAATGAGAAAAAAAAAACTCCGACCGTGTTTTTGGTTTAAAACAGCGACTTTGCAGTGTATTTTCGTATGGTATTTATGGTTGTATTCTAGTTTTCCTGGTCTCAATTTATAGAATGGAAGACATATTACAGAAATTGATATGATTTTGATTAGTTCATAATGAAAAGTACCTTGAAATTGAGCTCAAAGTAGCAGAAATGTTCGATTTTTACCAAATTTCAAAAGTAAACAAATCATGTCAAGTGTCCAATACACGTCAACTGGTGAGTCTAATATTCTTTCACAAGTGCACTGATATTATTTATACCATTTCTACACCATTTCTATACTAATGCAGTAGTCTGCATAACAGTAAATCTTTTATTTTTTGTGAGAATAAAAATTCAGAGTGGAAAGCAAGAGAGATGTAAGAGGGGCCTGGGGACATGACTATTGAACAGAAAAAATGTTATTTTAGTGCCAGAAATGTCTGTCTTGTTTATTCTGGACCCTATTTGGAAACTGGCATCTTTTGAAATTTATGTTAAATTGGCAAAATTGCCAATTTCTGACCACTTTATTGGATAGTTGAAATCGATAAATGAGTGGTTTCTTGTACTCATTCGATAGAGAAAATGGAGTTCTAGTGAAATAGTTATGATTTTCCTCACTGGTACATTGGAATTGGCTGAAAATAGGGCTCAAAGTGGGTGAAATCACCGATGCGTAAACACCGTCGAGACCGCTAACTTCGCGAGAGCATAATTCCGTAAGTTTTCCATCAAATTTCATACCTTTGGTGTCATTATGATTGGGAAAAGATTCTCTATCATTTCATTGGAAATTTTTTTTTTTTTTTTTTTCAAAAAATTTCCGACCCTGAGAACAAGTTTAGGAGAGGGCCTGCCGACCCTGAAAGGGTTAATGATCTTCCACCAAGTGTTCAGTCATCAGTGATCTCCCATGTACTTATTGCCCAGTCACTGACTTGGCCACATAACCTTACTTAATTTGCTTGCCAGAAGGAAGCTAAGGTGTACACAACTTCACTTAAAAATTGTAGGATTTTCGAATGTTTAGCTTAATAATGTTTGGAGGCTAACACTAATTCATCTGTGCAATATAAATATACTTCTTACTGCATGCTTTTAAACTGCACTGTGATTTTTCATTAATGTCACCCTGCCTTGGTGGGAAATGGTAGGTGTTAATTTAAAATAAAAAATAGCTACCATGCTAAGTGGATATAAAGTAGTTTGCACTTTAATTCTATAAAAAATCTATTTAATTAAATGAATTGTCTTTTGTTTAACCTACATAAGTGTACAATTTGGCAGCAATTTTTTTTACCCTAAGTCTTACCAGAAATGGTGGAATATCTTGGAAAATAAACAGTTTATTTATTAATATCATAATTGTTGTCATTTATGATAAAGGTATGTGGTGATTTAACAATCATACAGTATACAAACTTCATTAAGCTTTATTTGTTTTATTGTATATAAACAGCCCAAGAACCATTTAGTTATATGGCACTTTAAAGATACGTACAGGAATTCTGTGTCTAACATCCACAATCCAGAGCCATAATTTGTTACATGTCGTCAGTTGTGTCAACAGACTTTAACAAGGATAATACTGCTACCATTTATTCTACAAGAGATGCTGGGTTCCTAGGCAAGCACCCTGTGGGAAGAGTAGCACCCCTCCCAAAGAAGAGGCCCCCTACCCCTAGGCACAAACCCCACTACAACTGTACATTCGGATGACCTAGTGTTGGGAGGAACCTTCAGCAAGTGCTGTTAACCCTTTGACTGTCGCAACCCCCAATCCTGAGGTATCTCCTGGTGTCGCAAAATTTAAAAAAAAAAAAATTATTTTTTCTTATGAAATGATAGAGAATCTTTTCCCGATTGTAATGACACCAAAAAAACGAAATTTGATGGAAAACTGACGGAATTATGCTCTCGCGAAGTTAGCGACCTCGGTGCTGTTTACAAATCGGCGATTTCGCCCACTTTGAGCCATATTTTCGGCTAATTCCATTGTTCCAGTCGCCCAAACTCATAGCTATTTCTTTAGAACTCCATTTTTTTCTATCGAATGAGTACAAGAAACTGCCCATTTACCGATTTCAACTACCTAATAATGTGGTCAGAAATTTGCAATTTGGCCAATTTCACGAAAACTAAAAAATATGACAATTTCAAAATAAGGTCCAGAATGAACAATGCAGACATTCCTGGCTCTAAAATAACATTTTCTTTGCTCATCAGTCATGTCTCCAGGCCCCTCTGATATTACTCTTGCTTTCTATTTTGAATTTTTATTCAAACAAAAAATTGAAGACTTACTATTATGCAGACTACTGCAATACTGTAATAATTGTATAAATTAACATCAAACCCATTCATGACTGCATATCAGAATGGCTAGTTGGACATTTATTGGACAATGGCATCATTTGTTTACTTTTGAACATTGGCAAAAATCAAACATTTCCCCTACTTTGAGCTCCATTTCTAGGTTCTTTTTTAGTAAAATCAATCAAAATCATCTCTATTTCTATAATATGTTTTCCATTCTATCAAATGAGACCAAGAAAACGAGAATACAACCATAATTACTATACGAAAATAGACCACAAAGTCGGCATTTTAATTAAAAAAAACGGTCGGAGTTTTTTTTTTCATTATGCACTGCGTGCTCCAGGATTTTTTTTATATGGTGCACACTGACCACACAGACCCATTCTCTCACATGTGGGCCTACCAGCTTTCTCCTGCTTGATTTGAAGCCGCTAGAATTTATGAGTATATATACGTCAAACGCGGTACCTCGTAAGACGTATTATACGGCGCGACAGTCAAAGGGTTAAACTAACTGTCATCAAATGCAGTAATTATCCATAGGTTAAATTTTTAGTGTACAAACCTTCTGAAGTTTCTGACAGAGTTTGCAAAGTGAATAGAAATCTTCAGGACCTCCTAAAGGATTTTCACTCAGGTCAAGGTGACGCAAAGTTAGCACGTGCTTGCTTGTTATCAATACTTGCAGATCTGCTGACCTGACTCTGCACCCCACAAGTTTGAGGTATTGTAAACCCTGGGGTAAACTGCCAATGGGTTCACATTTGTCTGTAATGCATTTTAGCAATATATGAGCCTAATGCTAAATTTAATGTATCTTTTAACTTAAAAATAAATACAGTACATTTTTTCCAGCTATACTATTGTAGGCTGTATATATAAACTTACCTCTAACATTTATTCCGGAAATGTTAAGCTCACACAAACAAGGTAACTGAGACAGGAACTGAAGTGAAGTGATGTTCCGGTTATGTGCCAAACTTAGGCTGGTGAGTGACTTTGGTATGCATAAGAGTGGAAGCAACGAATTATTGCACAAGCCACAAAGCTCTAATTCCAGGCATTCTGTTTCCTGTAAAGTCAATCCTACATCATAAAGGTACAATTAATTTTTTTTAGCAAACCACGGAAATAAAAAAAAAGCATAAGAGAAAGATAAAATAAGTCTTCCAGGGTTCTGCATAAAAGTGCAGCACTGTACAGCAAAACACTAATTATCTGGCATCCAACATTATCTGGTGTCTTGTTCAATCTGGCCATTGAAGAGGTAATGCAAAGGAAAAAAAAGTGCTACAACAAAGGACCATGAAAGATAATATGATCATCTGATGTTTTTGAAAATTTGGCACACACTACCCCCAGAGTGTACTTGATCACTGATGATAACTGTATAGATTTTTTCCCCACTAAGGAAAATAGAAAACTTCTGGAAATATATGAGCTTAAAATATTAGGTTATTTTATGTGTAAATACCTTGAAATAATTAAAATAATGTGTCCTATGTTTACTGTCTGATGCTTGATATTCACAACAGAAAATATAATGAACCCTGAAATGAGACCTGATGTACTCCAAATCTTAAGTTAATCTTTAAATTTGCCTGAAGTGCTCTGCATACAAAGGGGCTTTTGGTATGCATACCCAACTATTCCTCTGTACAACCATGCATCATGTCAGAATAAACATCTTAATCTTAATAGGAGGCTAAGTCTATAGTATGACTGTGGAAGTGATCAGGCAGTGAAATTTTTAAATGCCACTTTTTGCTGATTAATGATAGCACTCCTACACTGTTCTATGCAGGAATGACTACCATCTTAACTAACTCTTAGTTTGCCCAATATGCACTGCATACTAGTGGCTTTCAGTCATGCCTAGCAATGTTTTATTACATGTAAACTACATTATCTTTGTACTGCATGAAAAGAAATAAAATTCTGAATTTGAACTGAATTTGAATCTTAAATTTTTCTATGAGAATGTTGATTTTGTGTCATTTCAGAAGTATGAGCTGCATAACCATTTTATATCAGCTAGGACAGAAGTCTGTTGAATAAAATCATTATCCTTGGAAAGTGTTTTTAGATTTTTAGTATAGTTGTTTTAATTAATAAACTCTAAAAGCAAAATTTATGAAAATATATAAGAATACCTAGGTAGTAGGTTGGTAGACAGCAATTGCCCAGGGAGGTACTACTGTACCATCCTACCAAGTGAGTGTGAAACGGAAACCTGTAATTGTTTTACATAATGGTAGGATTGCTGGTGTCTTTTTTTCTGTCTCGAAACATGCAAGATTTCAGGTACGTCTTGCTACTTCTACTTACACTTAGGACACACTACACATATATGTGCAAGCATATATATACAGTAGTAGGTTGGTAGACAGCAACCACCCAGGGAAGTACTACCGTCCTGCCAGATGACTGTGAAACAGAAACCTGTAACTGTTTTGCATGATGGTAGGATTGCTGGTTTCTTTTTCTGTCTCATAAACACGCTAGATAACAGGGATATCTTGCTACTCCTACTTACACTTTGGTCACACTTCACAGACACGCACATGCATATATATATACATACATCTAGGTTTTTCTCCTTTTTCTAAATAGCTCTTGTTCTTCTTTATTTCTTCTATTGTCCATGGGGAAGTGGAAAAGAATCTTTCCTCCGTAAGCCATGCGTGTCGTATGAGGCGACTAAATGCCGGGAGCAATGGGCTAGTAACCCCTTCTCCTGTAGACATTTACTAAAAAAGAGAAGAAGAAAAACTTTATAAAACTGGGATGCTTAAATGTGCATGGATGTAGTGCGGATGACAAGAAACAGATGATTGCTGATGTTATGAATGAAAAGAAGTTGGATGTCCTTGGCCCTAAGCGAAACAAAGCTGAAGGGGGTAGGGGAGTTTCAGTGGGGGGAAAATTAATGGGATTAAATCTGGAGTATCTGAGAGAGTTAGAGCAAAGGAAGGGGTAGCAGTAATGTTGAATGATCAGTTATGGAAGGAGAAAGAGAATATGAATGTGTAAATTCAAGAATTATGTGGATTAAGTAAAGGTTGGATGCGAGAAGTGGGTTATAATAAGCGTGTATGCACCTGGAGAAGAGAGGAATGCAGAGGAGAGAGAGAGATTTTGGAAGATATTAAGTGAATGTATAGGAGCCTTTGAACCAAGTGAGAGAGTAATTGTGGTAGGGACATGAATGCTAAAGTAGGAGAAACTTTTAGAGAGGGTGTGGTAGGTAAGTTTGGGGTGCCAGGTGTAAATGATAATGGGAGCCCTTTGATTGAACTTTGTATAGAAAGGGGTTTAGTTATAGGTAATACATACTTTAAGAAAAAGAGGATAAATAAGTATACAAGATATGATGTAGGGCGAAATGACAGTAGTTTGTTGGATTATGTATTGGTAGATAAAAGACTGTTGAGTAGACTTCAGGATGTACATGTTTATAGAGGGGCCACAGATATATCAGATCACTTTCTAGTTGTAGCTACACTGAGAGTAAAAGGTAGATGGGATACAAGGAGAATAGAAGCATCAGGGAAGAGAGAGGTGAAGGTTTATTAACTAAAAGAGGAGGCAGTTAGGGTAAGATATAAACAGCTATTGGAGGATAGATGGGCTAATGAGGGCATAGGCAATGGGGTCAAAGAGGTATGGGGTAGGTTTAAAAATGTAGTGTTAGAGTGTTCAGCAGAAGTTTGTGGTTACAGGAAAGTGGGTGCGGGAGGGAAGGAGGAGCGATTGGTGGAATGATGATGTAAAGAGAGTAGTAGGGAGAAAAAGTTAGCATATGAGAAGTTTTTACAAAGTAGAAGTGATGCAAGGAGGGAAGAGTATATGGAGAAAAAGAGAGAGGTTAAGAGAGTGGTGAAGCAATGTAAAAAAGAGCAAATGAGAGAGTGGGTGAGATGTTATCAACAAATTTTGTTGAAAATAAGAAAAAGTTTTGGAGTTGAGATTAACAAGTTAAGAAAGCCTAGAGAACAATGGATTTGCCAGTTAAAAATAGGAGAGGAGAGTTATTAAATGGAGAGTTAGAGGTATTGGGGAAAATGGAGGGAATATTTCGAGGAATTGTTAAATGTTGATGAAGATAGGGAAGCTGTGATTTCGTGTATAGGACAAGGAGGAATAACATCTTGTAGGAGTGAGGAAGAGCCAGTTGTGAGTGTGGGGGAAGTTCGTGAGGCAGTAGGTAAAATGAAAGGGGGTAAGGCAGCCGGGATTGATGGGATAAAGATAGAAATGTTAAAAGCAGGTAGGGATATAGTTTTGGAGTGGTTGGTGCAATTATTTAATAAATGTATGGAAGAGGGTAAGGTACTTAGGGATTGGCAGAGAGCATGCATAGTTCCTTTGTATAAAGGCAAAGGGGATAAAAGAGAGTGCAAAAATTATAGGGGGATAAGTCTGCTGAGTATACCTGGTAAAGTGTATGGTAGAGTTATTATTGAAAGAATTAAGAGTAAGACGGAGAATAGGATAGCAGATGAACAAGGAGGCTTTAGGAAAGGTAGGGGGTGTGTGGACCAGGTGTTTACAGTGAAACATATAAGTGAACAGTATTTAGATAAGGCTAAAGAGGTCTTTGTGGCATTTATGGATTTGGAAAAGGCGTATGACAGGGTGGATAGGGGGGCAATGTGGCACATGTTGCAAGTGTATGGTGTAGGAGGTAGGTTACTGAAAGCAGTGAAGAGTTTTTACGAGGATAGTGAGGCTCAAGTTAGAGTATGTAGGAAAGAGGGAAATTATTTCCCAGTAAAAGTAGGCCTTAGACAAGGATGTGTGATGTCACCGTGGTTGTTTAATATATTTATAGATGGGGTTGTAAGAGAAGTAAATGTGAGGGTCTTGGCAAGAGGCGTGGAGTTAAAAGATAAAGAATCACACAAAGTGGGAGTTGTCACAGCTGCTCTTTGCTGATGACACTGTGCTCTTGGGAGATTCTGAAGAGAAGTTGCAGAGATTGGTGGATGAATTTGGTAGGGTGTGCAAAAGAAGAAAATTAAAGGTGAATACAGGAAAGAGTAAGGTTTGAGGATAACAAAAAGATTAGGTGATGAAAAATTGAATATCAGATTGGAGGGAGGGAGTATGGAGGAGGAAAATGTATTCAGATATTTGGGAGTGGACGTGTCAGCGGATGGGTCTATGAAAGATGATGTGAATCATAGAATTGATGAGGAGAAAAGAGTGAGTGGTGCACTTAGGAGTCTGTGGAGACAAAGAACTTTGTCCTTGGAGGCAAGAGGGGAATGTATGAGAGTATAGTTTTACCAACGCTCTTATATGGGTGTGAAGCATGGGTGATGAATGTTGCAGCGAGGAGAAGGCTGGAGGCAGTGGAGATGTCATGTCTGAGGGCAATGTGTGGTGTGAATATAATGCAGAGATTCGTAGTTTGGAAGTTAGGAGGAGGTGCGGGATTACCAAAACTGTTGTCCAGAGGGCTGAGGAAGGGTTGTTGAGGTGGTTCGGACATGTAGAGAGAATGGAGCGAAACAGAATGACTTCAAGAGTGTATCAGTCTGTAGTGGAAGGAAGGCGGGGTAGGGGTCGGCCTAGGAAAGGTTGGAGAGAGGGGTTAAAGGAGGTTTTGTGTGCGAGGGGCTTGGACTTCCAGCAGGCATGCGTGAGCGTGTTTGATAGGAGTGAATGGAGACAAATGGTTTTTAATACTTGACGTGCTGTTGGAGTGTGAGCAAAGTAACATTTATGAAGGGGTTCAGGGAAACCGGCAGGCCGGACTTGAGTCCTGGAGATGGGAAGTACAGTGCCTGCACTCTGAAGGAGGGGTGTTAATGTTGCAGTTTAAAAACTGTAGTGTAAAGCACCCTTCTGGCAAGACAGTGATGGAGTGAATGATGGTGAAAGTTTTTCTTTTTCAGGCCACCCTGCCTGGGTGGGAATCGGCCAGTGTGATAATAAAAAAAAAAAAAATAAGTAATATATATACACATGCCTCTGGGTTTTTTTCTATTTTCCTACTATTTCTTGTTCTTGTTTATTTCCTCTTATCTCCATGGGGAAGTGGAACAGAATTCTTCCTCCGTAAGACATGCGTGTTGTAAGAGGAAACTAAAATGCCGGAAGCAAGGGGCTAGTAACTCCTCCTGTATAAATTACTAAATTTAAAAAGAGAAACTTTAGTTTTTCTTTTTGGGCCACCCTGCCTCGGTGGGATACAGCCAGTTTGTTGAAAGAAGAAGAAACATGCAAGGTTTCAGGTACATCTTGTTGCTTCTATTTACACTTAGGTCACACTACACATACATGTACAAGCATATACACACATACCCCTCTGGGTTTTCTTCTATTTTCTTACTAGTTCTTGTTTATTCTCTCTTATCTCCACGGGAAAGTGGAACAGAATTCTTCCTCCATAAGTCATGCGTGTCGTAAGAGGCGACTAACATGCTGGGAGCAAGGGGCTAGTAACACCTTCTCCTGTATACATCACCAAATTTAAAAATACAAAACTCCCTTGGTGGGATATGGCTAGTTTGATGAAAAAAAATATATAATAGTGAAAATGTTAATTGACGCCAGTAAGTGTGTATATGCAGCCTCTCCTCGCTTAACAACGGAGTTCCATTCCTAAAACCACATCAGTAAACGAATTCGTCGCTAAGAGAGGAGCATACTATAATGGTAGTGGGTTTGTGTCAACTATCTTTGATATTGTTTTAACATCACCTCTGCACCATTTATAATATTTCTAGTATATTTTTAAATATACAGTGGACCCCCGGTTAACGATTTTAATCCGTGCAAGAGGGGTAATTGTTATGCGAAATAATCGTTATGCGAATGAATTTTCCCCATAAGAAATAATGGAAATAAAATTAATCCGTGCAAGACACTCAAAAGTATGAAAAAAAAAATTTTACCACATGAAATATACATTTTCCCACACACAAAGAAAAGGATACATGCACAATAGTAGAGTAGTACATGCACAGTATATATTGTGCATGTACTACTCTACTAAATGAAGAATAAATGACACTTACCTTTATTGAAGATGCAGCAATGACTGATGAGACACTGTGTCCTGGGAGTGCCTTTTCCTCCTGAGTACTGTAGGTCCTGTTTGGCATTTTCTTCTAGAACAGGCCTTATCACACTGTGTATGCCACTACGATTCTTAAATCTCTCAAACCAACCTTTGCTGGCTTTAAATTCACCAATATGAGCACTAGTTCCAGGCATTTTTCCCTGTTCACCTGGGTGTTAGTCGACTTGTGTGGGTTGCATCCTGGGAGACAAGATTAAGGACCCCAATGGAAATAAGTTAGACAGTCTTCGATGACACTGACTTTTTTGGGTTATCCTGGGTGGCAAATCCTCTGGGGTTAATTGTTTCTTGGTATTCTCAATAAGCCACACCAAAAACGGTGCTACAGCAGCAGCAGCAGCTGACAGTGCAGCAGCAGCAGCAGCTGTACCACCAATAGTAGCGATGGTTGATTGGGGTTTATTATACAACCTGGCCAGCTCGGAGACATGCACTCCACTTTCATACTTATCAATGATCTTTTTCTTCATCTCTATTGTAATTCTCACCCTTATTGCTGTAGGGTTGGCACTAGAAGCTTTCTTGGGGCCCATGGTCACTTATTTTCCAGAAAAAGCACCGAAAACACTGTAATAATACGAAATATTCCGATTGTATGCTTGGATGTTACCGCGGAGGCTGGCTGGTAAACAATGCCACCGGCGGAACATGTGAGCGTGGCTCAGGCCGCACATTGGACGCGTCTCGGACGAAAATCGGTAAGCGGGTTTTTAAGCGGTATGTGAGGCAAAATTTTTGCAATTAAAGTAAGCGGTATGCGAAATAATCGCTATGTGATGCCATCGTTATGCGGGGGTCCACTGTACTAAAAATGTTGGAGTGTGAGCAAAGTAACATTTATGAAGGGATTCAGGGAAACCGGCAGGCCGGACTTGAGTCCTGGAGATGGGAAGTACAGTGCCTGCACTCTGAAGGAGGGATGTTAATGTGGCAGTTTAAAAACTGTAGTGTAAAGCACCCTTCTGGCAAGACAGCGATGGAGTGAATGATGGTGAAAGTTTTTCTTTTTCGGGCCACCCTGCCTTGGTGGGAATCGGCCAGTGTGCTAATAAAAATAAAATAATATTTTAAATGTTTATACAGTATAGTGTACTGTATATTGTAATAAATAGAATAGAGGAAATCAGCTCTAATATACATTATTTAGGCATGCATTCAGAGAGCCCATTGTAAGTCCGAGGTGTCGATAAACGAATATGTCGCTAAGTGAGGAGAGGCTGTATACTCATTAATCTGCTGTTTTCATAATTATAATAAAGCAACTCGGATGATTACCAAGTACCTTAGGCAAAGAAACAAGGCAGATCCCAGGTATAGATGTTATGTTTACTTTCCTAAATTTGACGACTAAGCCAGCACCATGATGACGACTAATCGTGCAGACAACATGAAGAGCCTGGAACTGACTCTCTGCCTCACCCTCTATTCTGATATCCATCCTTATTTCATCTGAAAAAAAGGAGCAAGATTTCACACATCAGTATCAGAGCTCATTTTAGCATCAGCTTATCTGTAGCCAGGGAGCCTACGTGCCTAATTCCCATAGTTTCCACCAGAGGCCAGGCCTCTCGGTGGCATGCCAACCTGCCCACCCCTGCCTCTCCCTCACTCACTCAGCGGCCTAGACTCAGATAACAGGTCCTACTCCTCTCTCCCTCGCTGGGCATGGCCCTCCTGGGCCATGATCACTTAACACACTGCCTGTGTACCCCATGACATTGCTAATAAAGTAAGAAGCCTCCAAAGCCTTTATCATTACTCCCCGCTACCAAGAATCACCAAATAAATCCCGTAAACATATCTGCTAAAGATGTTGTCATTCTTAAGTGTTGTACAGGTGTAAGTTTCTAAAACTTAACTGTTGACCAAAAACAAACAATGTAATGGACATTATGGTGAAGCTTTCAAAATGAAAACTTGCAAATGAGTTTTTTTTTTGTGTGTGTGTAAAAACAAATGGCACACAGGATGGCTCTCTTTGCACTCTCGTACTGCAACTCAGCAGTTGCAAAATACTGATTGATTCCCAGATATCATGTTTGTTAGTACAGATATGTATAACTTCAGGAATTTGTAAGTTTGGGGGTCTCCTGTACATTGCAATATTTTTGGAAATGAATTTAGTTCAGTATCAGTGTAACTTGCTTAATTATTCTGACATTTGGGACCAGTCCCTGGATCCACTATGTGCCTATGTCATCTTTCAACTACCGTCCACAGGCTGGGCATGGGATGCATCATCAAGCTATTAAACAGACCCCAATATAAATATTATTAAATAAGAAACCTGTCTACTTTCCATCTCTTCAAATATAATTTTTTATTTTACAAGCTGTATACTTTTCTGATTCACTCATTAAGCAACAAAGTACATTACATACTAACTTCTGATATAATGAGGTGGACTATTGGGGTTGTATGCCATTCTGACAAATCTCTCCAGCAGGTGGACATTCGATATCGGAAGAGAGAAACCAGTAATGTCCAACTTGCACAAAGGTCCTTTAAACTCAACTGCCATTGCTGACTTGCTAGGGTGTTAAAAAATTAAATTAAAATATGCTTTGTATTCTCACTGCTTACATTATGTATATAATATTTAAAGAAAGTGAATCAGAAGCAATTACAGTATACAAAAGAAGAGGCATTAAAACAAATAAATCTGAAATATAAGACAGAATATGGGAGAAGACTGATATCTATACTGTTGATTCCTTGCTCCTTCCCCAAAACTTAATGTATGAGAAAGGAGCAAAATTAATTCCAACACACCACCTTAAGATGTTGCTGAATAGCTGAAGTGGTTGACATAAATGAACACAGCTTGCACATCATAGTATGAATTCCCTACATGAAATGTAATTATTTTTATTTTTTATTAACACACTGGCCGTCTCCCACCAAGGCAGGGTGGTCTGAAAATGAAAAACTCTCATCATCATTCACTCCATTACTGTCTTGCCAGAGGTGAGCTTACACTATTGTTATAAAACTGCAACACTGACACCCCGCCTTCAGAATGCAGACACCATACTTCCCATCTCCAGGACTCAAGTCCGGCCTGCCAGTTTCCCTGAATCCCTTCATAAATGTTACCTTGCTCACACTCCAACAGCACATCAAGTCCTAAAAACCATTTCTCTCCATTCGCTCCTATCTAACACGCTCACATATGCTTGCTGGAAGTCTAAGCCCATCGCACACAAAACCTCCTTTACCTCCTCCCTCCAATCTCTCCTAGGCCAACCCCTACCCCGCCTTCCCTCCACTACAGATTTATACACTCTTGAAGTCATTCTATTTCCTTCCATCCTCTCTACATGTCCAAACCCTCAACCCTCTGGATAATAGTTTTGGTAATCCTGCACCTCCTCCTAATTTCCAAAATAAGAATTCTCTGCATTATATTCACACCACACATTGCTCTTAGACATGATATCTCCACTGCCTCCAGCCTTTTTCTTGTTGCAACATTCACCACCTATGTTTCACACCCATATAAGAGCACTGGTATAACTATACTCTCATACATTTCCCTCTTTGCTTCCATGGACAAAGTTCTTTGTCTCCACAGACTCCTAAGTGCACCACTCACCTTTTTCCCCACTTCAATTCTATGAGTCACCATCTTTCATAGACCCATCTGCTGACATGTCCACTCCTAAATATCTGAGTACTTTCACCTCCTCCATACTCTCTCCTTCCAATCTGACAACCAATCTTTCATTACCTAATTTTTTGTTATCCTCATCACCATACTCTTTCCTATACGTATTCACTTTTAATTTTCTTCTTTTACATACCCTACCAAATTCATCCACCAACCTCTGCAACTTCTCTTCAGAATCTCCCAAAAGCACAGTGTCATCAGCAAAGAGCAACTGTGACAACTCCCAGTTTGTGTTAGATTATCTTTTAACCCCACACCTCTTGCCATCACCTAAGCATTCACTTCTCTTACAACCCCATCTATAAATATATTGAACAACCATGGTGACATCACACATCTTTGTCTAATGCCTACTTTTACTGAGAAATGTAATTACTTTTACCCAGTTATAAATATTTATCTGAGCTAATGGTGGGGAGGTTTACCTCTTCAACCTGCTTGTTAATGCTAAGATTAACTGACATGAATTTTTTCTATTATAATTAAACCAGAAACCATGTTCACTGTAGCTTCTACTGCACTGTTTAGCTTATCCAACTACTTTACTGATATTATGTTGAAAAAAATCTTTCTTCATGATGAAAGGTTAATTGGAGATAATTTGGAAATGGAGTTTAGAGGTGAAAAAGGAAGAAAACTACACAGGAATTGTAATGAGTCTACCAGCAACTAGTTCAACAGAAGACAATAATACACAACTAATAAGGCATAATCGAAGTCATACACAAGGAACAAAGATATGATAGTGTGTCAGTTTGATATCTGTGCAACTCATTAAGACTGAAAAGTAGTGAAAATCTATGGACTTATGTGCAAGTCAGTAAGAGATAGTGTCGAGCGGTAGTGTATATTTATATACATGTACTGCATAATTTTCTATTTACCACATCAGCCCTCCCACCAAAGTAGGGCAACCCTAAAAAGAAAAACATTCGCCATCATTCATTCAACAGCCATCTTGCCAGAAGTGTGCAGATATCACAATTCACATAACACTCTGAACTGTAACATCTCCATCCCTTTAAAATGCAAAGGCACTGTACTTCCCACCTAGCTGGCTTCTTGAATTCCTTAATAAATGCTACCTTGCACACAACAGCCGGTTATATCCAGAAAAACCACTCTTTACTGCTTTAGGTAACCTACTATCTATTACATGCATTTACAATGTCTGCCATATTACAACCGTTTACCCCTTTCTAGGTATTGCTCACTTACATACTGTACTTCAATGTAAACACTTGGTCTACATCCCTACCTTTCATAAATCTTTGTTCTTCTGCAATATTACATTCTGATTTACTCTTAGTTCTTTCAGTAATAATAATAATAATCTTTATTTCTACAAGCACATGGTGTATAGACCTAGCTGACATCAATGACACTGTTATGCAGAGCATTTCTGGCAAATTAGGTAAATTCTGTCCCCAGGATGCAACCCACACCAGTTGGCTAACATCCAGGTACCTATTTACTGCTAGGTGAACAGGGACGGAAGGTGTCTTAAAGAAACACGTCCTAATGTTTCCACCCGTGCTGGGGCTCAAACCACAGATCTCAAAGTATGAGCTGAGTATGCTAGCAACTGAGCTACAGGACACCTTTACCTGGTATACTCAACAGGCTTATTGCCCTATAATTCATCCATGTTCTCTTATCTCTTATTATCTTATACAGAGGAACTATGCAGGCTCTCTGCCAATCCTTAGATACTTTATTGATATTATGTTGAAAAAATACATATATTGAAGACAGCAATCACCCAGGGAGGTACTACTGTCCTGTCAAACGAACATGAAATGGGAACCTGTAATTGTTTTACACACTGGTAGGATTACTGGTGTCTTTTCTTTCTGTCTCATAAACATGTAAGAGTTCAGGTACGTCTTGCTACTTCTACTTACACTTAGGTCACACTACACATACATGTACAAGCATATATATACACATCCCTCTGGGTTTTCTTCTATTTTCTTTCTAGTTCTTGTTTATTTCCTCTTATCTCCATGAGGAAGTGGAATAGAATTCTTCCTCCGTAAGCCATGCGTGTTGTAAGAGGCGACTAAAATGCCAGGAGCAAGGGCCTAGTAACCCCTTCTCCTGTATAAATTACTAAATTGAAAAAGAGAAACTTTTGTTTTTCTTTTTGGGCCACCCTGCCTCTGTGGGATACAGCCGGTTTGTTGAAAGAAAGCAACATGCAAGATAACAGGTACAGTGTACATACATCTTAGTACATACTTCTGCTTACACCTAGGTCACAGTACACATACACGTACACATAAATATACATACCCATTTGAGTTTTCTTCTATATTTCTTAATAGTTCTTGTTCTTATTTATTTCTCTTTCATCTTCATGGGACAGTGGAAAACTAGCCTTGCTCAGTAAGCCATGTGTCATAAAAGGCAACTAAAATGCTGGGATAAGGGGACTGGTAACCCCTTCTCCTGTATAAATTTTTTAAAATTAAAAAAGAAGAAAATATGCCGTCCTCATACTTTGTTTTTTAAAAAAAAATTGACTAAGCTACTTAAAAATAAGGCATACGGATACCAGCAAAATGCAATTACAACAGAGTGAAGCCCTGTGTATTCTTCAAATACTTACTAATTAATTCTGATCTTTTGCAGAGGGGTCACACATGAAAAATTTGTCCTTTCACAGGGCGCAGAAGCATCATTTCAGTGCTTCATTTCCCAAAGGCAGTGAGTATAACTGTTATTGGTAAGGGCTGACACATGGAATACCTAACACTCCATGCCAATACTGTACCACACAATGCTTATGCATCCATGGATTTGTCCATAATTATGGAGTCTGGGGTAATATAACCCAAAGCTAAACAAAGACTTTACTTTTCAAATTACGTATATACCTTTGGATGAATGTTTCAGGTATAGTTTGCAGGGGCTTCCAAAAAACTTCATCAGCTTTTTCTGAACTTCTGATATATCCTCTGAGGCTTTGTTGTAGGTGATGGTAAAGGGTGGAACAAGGTTCCCTGAGGGTCATGCTCTCAAATGGCCAGTTGATAGTCAAGGCACGTAAAGTGGCATTGCAGCTCTTTTCTTTTCTAAATCATCCATTCCTATCAGAGAATAATTTATAAAATAAATTTATCTCCCAGCATAAATATCTACAATGCAAATAGTGTTTAGTGCAAGTTTCAAATACAAGGTTATAAACCATTTCTATACTAACATGTTAAAAGCCCTGACAATTTTAGGGCAACACTGGAAAGATTTGCTTAAGGTGTATACCTTTGTTTCATTACCAAACACTGTACATAAAGAAGACTTCCAGCTACCTCAACAAACCAAAAAAATGAAATGACTGCATGTGTCAAAAAATATTTTCAAAACAGAAATGTTGCATTTCATTATATTACAGGTAGCACTTCTGGCTCAAATCTGAAGAACCTGGGTTTGATCCCAGCACAAGTGGGAAAGTTAAGCATGCTTTCTAACATCTGTTGCTCTGGTTCACCTAGCAGCAAGCTGGTACTTGGGTGTTAGTTGACTGTTATGGGATGCATCCCGGGGAAGAGGATCAAAGAACTTCAATTGATATAAAACAGACATCATAATTTTCTTTTGTACGTAGTAGGTTGGTAGACAGCAACCACCCAGGGAGGTACTACCGTCCTGCCAAGTCAGTGTAAAATGAAAGCCTGTATTTGTTTTACATGATGGTAGGATTGCTGGTGTCTTTTTTTCTCTCATAAACATGCAAGATTTCAGGTATGTCTTGCTACTTCTTATTACACTTAGGTCACACTACACATACATGTACAAGCATATATATATGCACCCCTCTGGGTTTTCTTCTATTTTCTTTCTAGTTCTTGTTCTTGTTTATTTCCTCTTATCTCCATGGGGAAGTGGAACAGAATTCTTCCTCCGTAAGCCATGCATGTTTGTAAAAAGGGCGACTAAAATGCCGGGGGAGCAAGGGGCTAGTAACCCCTTCTCCGTACAAATTACTAAATTTTTAAAAGAAAAATTTTTGTTTTTCTTTTTTTGGGGCCCCCCTGCCTTGGTGGGATAAAGGCCGGTTTTGTTAAAAAAAAAAAAATTCTTTCTGTTATTCTGGGTTACTAAACCCCAGGTTACTAATATAATAAAAAACTTCCATACACCAGAAGAAATAAAAAACTATGAAGATATTTGCAAAAAAACAAAGGTATTATACAAGATCGGTACCTGTAATAATTGTCTATCCTTGCAGAAAGACCTGGACAGATTCAACAAGTAGAATGATAGATTGACGATAGAATTTAATATAGATAAATGTCATGTAACAAATTGGAAAAAAAGTAACGAATCACACAGAGAATATAGACTGATAATATGCTGATAGTGACAGACAGAGGAAACTAGGAGTAATTACTGACAAAAATTATCATTTGGAAGATCACATAAATGCAGTTTGATTTAATAGTGAGAATGTATGCAACACCCTGCAAACTATAAAAAAAAACTTCAGACAGAGTATATTAATTACAAAAATAAGTAAGATCAAAAGTGGAAAATGGAGTGGCAGTTTGATGTTTACAAATACAATAATCGCAAATAAAGTATAAAAAATTTAAAGATACATTAAAAATGGCTTTCAGAACCAAGAAACAAAAAGTTACAAAGAAAGATTGGAGATTCCAAAAATGGCCTCTCTGGTTGACAGAAGGAAAGAAAAAACATGATAATATGTACATAAAAAGAAAAAGAGAATGTAGATTAAAATACAGTATCTTTTAGCACCAACAACAGGAAGAACAAGTGGCATCATTTGTTAACGAGAAAAAACACTGCTAAAACCGAATTTTTTTTCTTCAGTTATAAACTTAAAAATGATGACCCAAGAGGAAGTACAGTACAGCCTCTCCTCGCTGAACGATGGAGTTCCGTTTCTAAGACCATGATGGTAAACGAATTCGTTGCTAAGTGAGGAGCATACTGTAATGGTAGTGGGTCGGTGTCAACCATCTTTGATATTATTTTAGTGGTATATTTTTAAATGTTTATACAGTAGTTTACTGTAAATATATTGAAATAAACAGAAAAGAGGAAATCAGCTCTAATTTAGATATGCATACTAGTCAGAGAGCCCATTGTAAGTCCGAGTCATTGGTAAAGGAGTACAGTGGACCCCCGCATAACGATCACCTCCGAATGCGACCAATTATGTAAGTGTATTTATGTAAGTGAGTTTGTACGTGTATATTTGGGGGTCTGAAATGGACTAATCTAATTCACAATATTCCTTATGGGAACAAATTCGGTCAGTATTGGCACCTGAACATACTTCTGGAGTGAAAAAATATCGTTAACCGGGGGTCCACTGCACGTTGCTAAGTGAGGAGAGGAAGTAGTATATTCTACCTCTGGAAGGTTTACATAACTAGTTAGAAACAATACATGATGGCACAGATGAGCATAGCTCTGCTCCTGTTACTACAAACAGGAAAAAAATTTCACACATATACAAGTGATTTGTATTTTCTGGTCAATTACAGTGGCCATACTGAAGACTACCTGAATTATCAAAACTACAATACTGTAATGTACTTTGACCTTATTACAATTTGAATGCAGTTAGTATGAACTGTAGTTAGTCTAATATCTTTATCATGCACCCTATATCCATCCTGTATAAAGTGCATAGCAACAGGTATGTTGAGAATAAGTACTTACTGGAGTAGTAACATTTTTGCATGACAGCCTGAAACAGTGCAGGATAAAAGCTGTGAGGAACCCTGGGTAGGAGATGATGGGCTGTATACTCATCTTTCATGATCACACATGCACTTAAAAACTCTAATCTTGAAAAATCTTGATCCCCTATTTCAGAACTGTACAGCATATCCTCCTTGGTCATACAAACCATCTGTGAAATTCCAGAAACAAAATAAGAGTATTGGCAGCAGTATCACTGTTAATGGCAAGAAGAGAAGCCCATTTATCATAGTTTAAACCTAGTCACAAGCTATAAACCATAGTGAATTCTGAAGAACAGCTATTTAAATTGAAAGAAGAGAGAGGAGTGGGGATAATTTTGTTATGAATCTTGGAATGGGAAGGAAGTTCAGATTTCTGAAATTTTAAGGGTTAATACATCATAGCGTAGAGAGACACCTTGCAGGGTTGTTTAAGATACCAACCCTCACTGAGCCACTCAAGCTGGAGGCTATTTGTAAAATAAGACACAAAAGCCAGGACCAGCACTTACCAATAGTATTAGTCTGGGTTGACTTTCACACAACTAGGCTATGGTGGGGAGGTATGCATAGTTAGTGTACTGCACACTAACAGCACCTTTCAAGGCAGGTGAAATTGCTGACCTAGAAAATGTACAGAGAACCTTCATGGCACACATAACTGTGATAGAGGACTTCAATTACTGGGAATGCTTGAAGTTTCTAAACCTGTACTCCCTAGAACGAAGGTGGGAGAGATACATGATTACATACACCTGGAAAATCCTAGAGGGATTAGTACCAAACCTGCACACGAAAATCACTCCCTATGAAAGCAAAAGACTCGGCAGACAATGTAACGTTCCCCCAATGAAAAGCAGGGGTGCCACTAGCACGATAAGAGACAACACAATAATTGTGAGGGGTCCAAGACTGTTCAACTGCCTCCCAGTATACATAAGGGGGCATTACCAATAGACCCCTGGCTGTCTTCAAGCAGGCACTGGACAGGCACCTAAAGTCAGTATCTGGCTGTAGGTCGTATGTTGGACTGCGTGCAGCTAGCAGTAACAGCCTGGTTGATCGGGCCCTGGCCCACCATGAGGCCTGGTCACAGACCGGGCCACGGGGGCATTGACCCCCGGAACTCTCTCCAGTTATAGACTCATTCACTACTACTTAATATTACTGACGAAAAAGATATGATTCAAGAAGCACCAATGCAGTATCCTTAAAGCCACAGCCAGGAAGGTCACTTATCAATAATCCATTATCATTAGTATCAAATGCAGCAGAGATGTCCAACATAATTAGCAGCGACACATTTCCTGAACAAATGCTCACTGGGGATCTACCATGACCAATCACCTTAAACCATTAATAACCCAACAAAAAGCTGACATGCGGATGAGCACTATTTGCTGCGCCAGATGATATACCCCACCGCTCTTCAAGAGTTTGAACTTACTTAATATGCACTCATATTATTGTGCCTACTATATATACAGAACATTAAATTCCAACATAAACCCTCCAGTCAAACTTCTCCTTGATAGCTACAACAGAACACACAGGTACAACACAAGGCACAAAACTCTCTTCGACATCTCTCATGTTCATCTCACCCTATGCAAAAATGCAATGCACATAAAGGGCCTAAGATCTGGAATTCAATGCCCAAACCAGCAAAAGGCCCCCTGTCTGCCAATCAATTTAGGGCTATAATTAAAAATCACCTCACCTCCCAAACTTAACTATATCTACACTATACCAAATCATTCAACCAGTATGAAACAACGTACTCAGGAAATCCCAAAACAACTTAGGACTGCTAGATCAATCTAAAATATTAATACATGCTTAAAACTGTACTGTTGTAACATTGCAAACTGTACTAATTGTAATACTGTACAGATTGACCATCACTAATCCGGAATCATCGGGACCTGTAGGTTGCTGGATTAGTGATTTTGCCAGATTATAGAGTGGTTAGATTAGGATACACTTAACCCAACGTTGATATTTATGCATCAGTGATTTCACTCACTTTATGCCCTATTTTTGGCCCATTCCATTGTTCAAGTAAAATAAACTCATAGCTATTTTGCTAGTATTCCTTCTATTCTGTTGATTAACCCTTTGACTGTTTCAGGCCCCTTTCTGAAACTGTCATTCTATGTCGCTCAATCTTTGAAAAAAAAAAAAAAAAAATTTTCTTATGAAATGATAGAGAATCTTTTCCCGATGGTAATGACACCAAAAGTTCGAAATTTGGTCGAAAACTCATGGAATTATGCTCCCGGGAAGTTAGCGGTCTCGGCAACATATGCGTATCGGCGATTTGGCCGATTTTGAGCCCTATTTTCAGCCAATTCCATTGTGCCAGTTGACCAAACTCATAGCTATTTCTTTAGAACTCCATTTTATCTATCAGCTGAGTACAAGAAACCTCCCATTTACTAATTTGGACTACCCAATATGGTGGTCAGAAATTGGCAATTTGGCCAATTTCACGCAAACTAAAAAAGATGCCAATTTCAAAATAGGGTCCAGAATAAACAAGGTAGACATTCGTGGCACTAAAATAACATATGCTCTGCTCATTAGTCACATCTCTAGGCCCCTCTTATATTATTATTGCTTTCTATTTTGATTTTTTATTCATACAAAAAAATACAAAATTTACTGTTATGCAGACTACTGCATTATTGCAAAAATGGTATAAATAATATCAGTGCACTAGTGAAAGAATATTAGACTCCCCAGTTGATGTGTATTGGACGTGTGGTGTGATTTATTTACTCCTGAACATTGGTAAAAATCGAACATTTCCGCTACTTTGAGCTCAGTTTCAAGGTCGTTTTCATCGTCAAAGTAATGAAAATCATCTCTATTTCTGTAATATGTTTTCCATTTTATCACCTAAGACCATGAAAACGCAAATACAATGATAAATACTATACGAAAATACACCTCAAAGTTGGTGTTTTATTCCAAAAAAACGATGTTTTTTTTCTCAATACGCAATGTGTGCTGCAGGATTTTTTTTATGTGGTGCCCACTGACCACACAGACCCATTCTCTCACATGTGGGCCTACCAGCTTTCTCCTGCTTGATTTGAAGCCGCTAGAATTATTGAGTATATATACGTCAGAAACATTGGCTCGTAAGATGTATTTATACGTCGAAAACAGTCAAAGGGTTAAGTACAAGAAATCTCCCATTTACCTATTTCAACGCCCCAATAAAGTGGTCAGAAATCAGTAATTTGGCCAATTTCACACAAATTTCAAAAGAGGCCAATTTCAAAATAGGGTCCAAAATAAACAATCGAGACATTCCTATCACTAATATAACATTTTCTTTGTTCATCAGTCACGTCTCCAGGCCCCTCTTATATTATGCTTGCTTTCCATTTTGAATTTTTATTCATGCAAAAAATAGAAGATTTACTGTTATGCAGACTACTGCATTATTGTAATAATTGTATAAATAATGTCAACCCATTCGTGACTGCATATTAGACTGGCCAGTTGGACACGTATTTGTTTACTCTTGAGCATCGTAAAAAATCAAACATTTCCCCTACTTTGAGCTTAGTTTTGAAGTACTTTCTGGTGTGAAACCAATCAAAATTGTATCTATTTTTGTATTGTATCTTCCATTCTATCAAGTGAGACCAAAAAAAAGAGAGAGAGAGAGAATACAACCATGCAAAGCAAACAAAAATACACCACAAAGTCACTGTTTTACACAAAAAGCACAGTCGCTTTTTTCCTCATACACTGCATGCTGCAGGATTTTTTTTATATATTGCACACTAACCACGCAGACCTATTCCCTTATATGTAGGCCCAAATTTACTGGTCACAGCTTATCTGAGTGAGGTGAGCTCATGGTGACTGACAGTGGCTTCAGAGCCACTTTATCTTTTATGGACAATATATGGTGTATGTGCTTTACACAGTGAGAAGCATTTCTTTTATTCGTTGGAACCATGGCTAGGGCTAAAAGTGAGCAGGTTATAACAATAAATGGAAAAAAAAAATTGAATGACTTATGCCAGAGGTAGCGCCACCAAACAGTAGTGGCAGGTTGATGTGGTGACCCTGGAAATTTGAAATTAAGATACCTGAAATTAGTGTCGGGTTACTGATGGAACCAGATTACTGATTGCCAGATTATTGATGGCCAACCTGTACTATTATTTGCTACCTCTCTACTATAAATCTTAACCCTTTGGGGGTCGGCAGGCCTTCTTAGAGACTTGTTCTCAGGGTCGGCCAAATTTCAAAAAAAAAAATATTATTTTTTCTTATGAAAAGATAGAGAATGTTTTCCCGATTATAATGACACTGAAAGTATGAAATTTGATGGAAAACTTATGGAAATATGCTCTCGCGAAGTTAGCTGTCTCGATGTTTACGCATCGGCGGTTTTGCTCACTTTGAGCCCTATTTTCGGCCAATTCCAGTGTACTAGTCGACAAAAATCATAACTATTTCACTAGAACTCCATTTTTTCTATTGAATGAGTACAAGAAACCACCCATTTTGCAATTTTGCCAATTTCACACAAATTTCAAAAGATGCCAATTTCCGAATATTCCAGAATAAACAAGAAAGACATTCCTGGCACTAAAATAACATTTCCTCTGTTCATTAGTCATGTCCCCATGCCCCTCTTACATTCTTTTGCTTTCCACTTTGAATTTTTCTCACAAAAAAATAGATTTACTGTTATGCAGACTACTGCATTAGTGTAGAAATGGTATAAATAATATCAGCGCACTTGTGAAAGAATATTAGACTCACCAGTTGACGTGTATTGGATGCTTGGCATTTATTTACTTACTTTTGATCTTTGGTAAAAATCGAACATTTCTGCTACTTTGAGCTCAATTTCAAGGTACTTTTCATTGTAAAATCAGTCAAAATCATCTCAATTTCTGTAATATGTCTTCCATTCTATAAAATGAGACCAGGAAAACTAGAATACAACAATAAATACCATATGAAAATACAGTGCAAAGTAGTTGTTTTAATCCAAAAACACAAGTTTTTTTTTTCTCATTACGCACTGTGTGCTGAAGGATTTTTTTTATACTGCGCACACTGACCACATAGACCCATTCTTTCATATGTAGGCCTACCAGCTTTCTTTCACTAGATTTGATGGCGCTAGAATTTATGCGTTGTAGTACGTCAAAAACCCCTTCGGGTAAGACGTACTAGTACGGCCGAAACCCCGAAAGGGTTAATAATAAAATTTTTGCTGTCTCTCTATTGTAATAATGTAAAATAATGAATAATTAAAATATACCACTCCATAACCTATGTCTAGTTTTAAGTAGTGTGTAAACATTAGGATTAGTCTGCCCAAAATGCTTAGGCATGTTAGTGGCTTTCTTTGTGCCTAACAATATTTTATAATATGTAAATCACATATTGTAAACTTTACAAAGAAATAAAAATATGAATCTGAACCAACTCATGACTGTATAAACTTTATTATCCTTAATCCCCAAAGGAAATACGTATGGACTTCTTATGCTAACATTTTGTGAATTTATTTTTTGGCTATGGTTGCAGCAGTGATTGATAAACAGACTGATATTATAATTATCTGTTCAAGATTTTGCTTAGCAAATATTCATAGATGTATGTACCTCATTTGGCTTGATATCATATATCCATAAGCTGTTGAATTAAGCTAGAGCCAGTGAAGACACAAAAGCATTGTCTCTTGTGCAATGTTTCACCCAACATTGGGCTTTATAAAGTACTGTTACTTGAGGAAGCCCAATGTAGGGTGAAACATTGTACAAATAATGAACTTCACTGCATTTGTCTTCACCAGTTGGCATTTTGCCTTTGCCTCCACCAAAGCTTGTCACATTTCTGAAAGCACAGCTCAAAAATTAGACAATTCACATTTTTAACTATTTCTATTAATAATATCTTTGTTTCTCCAAGTACACATGTACAAGGTATGCAGGCCTAGCTGACATCAATAACATACTATATTTTATATAACCGGACTTGAGTCCTGGAAATGGGAAGTACAATGGGAAGTACAATGCCTGCACTCTAAAGGAGAGGTTTGGGATATTGGCAGTTTGGAGAGATATATTGTGTATTTTTATACGTATATACAGTGGACCCCCGGTTTATGATCAGCTCCCAATGCGACCAATTATGTAAGTGTATTTATGTAAGTGCGTTTGTAAGTGTATGTTTGGGGGTCTGAAATGGACTAATCTAATTCACAATATTCCTTATGGGAACAAATTCGATCAGTACTGGCACCTGAACATACTTCTGGAATGAAATAATATCGTAAACTGGGGGTCCACTGTACTTCTAAGCTGTTGTATTCTGGGCACCTCTGCAAAAACAGTGATTATGTGTGAGTGAGGTAAAAATGTTGAATGATGATGAAAGTATTTTCTTTTTGGGGATTTTCTTTCTCTTTGGGTCACCCTGCTTCAGTGGGAGACGGCCGACTTGTTTAAAAAAAAAAAAAAAAAAAAAAAAACTTGTTATGCAGAGCATTTCAGGCAAATTAGGTCAGTTTTGTCCCAGGATGCGACCCACACCAGTTGACTAACACCCAGGTACCAATTTTACTAATGAGTGAACAGGGACGGCAGGTGTTTTACGGAAACATGTCCTAATGTTTTCCAGCTGCATTAATTCATTAGACTACCATTTTCAAATTTTGATTCAAGTTGATAAAACATCACATACCATAAAATAAATTCCTACAACACACACTTACCTGACTGTTGCCTTTGGGTATCAAGGGAGGAAGGACCGATTCCAGTCGATGATAAAGACATCCACTCAACATATTTCAACCTCTAGAAACACAAGAGAAAACTGAGTAACACATGAAATTTTTATATAATGTACTTGAGTGGCAAAAGCTGCTACATACTGTGTAGATATATGGCAAAACATTTTTAAGAATAATGTACATTCTATGGACCTTCAGATTATTGTAAGTTATGTGTATGAATTAATTTTAAACAAACAATAATGTACATTCTATGGGCATTCAGATTATTGTAAATTATGTGTATGAATTAATTTTAAACAAAAATTTTAAACAAACACTTGTATTATAAGCCGTGGCCAAACTCACAAAAAGACTGGATCTCTATAATTACCCTATACATATCTATAATGACCATCATACAAACACGAATACTTAGATATTATAATTTACGTTGACATATTGGCAAGTATATTTAGTGTTGTTGTTTGTGGTGGTGTTATTAAGGACCACAAGACTTATGCCTTATTGAGCCCTATCTCCCAGCTCCTGGAGATTTAGGAAGTTCTAAATAACAAAAAGGCACAATACCATGACTGGAACAATACACAAATAACCTGAACCGAAATGTCGTCATAAGCTCCTGTCTCCTACGTGCGGGTTATTTGTGTATTAGGAAGTTCTAACAGGCTCAAGCTGTAAGTAAAGTAAAGTAAGCTTTACAGTATTTCTATAAAGAATGGCTTACAGTTTGTACAGAAAGTGTGATATTATTGACATACGTACTTTACAGAAAACCCCTGGTTATGCAGAGCATTTCGGGCAACCTTACAGTAACTTGCATCAGCTTGAAATAGTAAGTCATGCTTTTGAAACTGTAGGTTAGGTTAGGTAAGGTTCGTCAGGAAACAGGACAAATGTTTCCTGACGCGGGTCTTAGTCAGATGATGACCCGCCTTTGGAGCTTTTGGTCATCTGACCGAGGCCTTCCGCTGGCTTACCGGTCCACCCCTTTAAAAATTATGGTCATTTATAACCAGTCTTTTTGAAACTGTACCTTTTGTTAATTAGTTACTTTTCTTATTGTACATATGATTGTAGTTAATTGCATAAGAAATCCTACTTAATAGTCTATCTAAATCTTAATTAACCTTTAAGCATGAGGATTAGTTTACCCAAAATGAATTGCATACTAGTGGCTGTATTTTGTGCCTACCAATGTTTTATAATGTGTAAACTATATTACATATTCGTACTACATAAAGGAATAAAAATTGTATTGTATCTACTCATAACACATAACTATTAGTGAAATTTTTGCGAGAACAGTTTATTATAAGTTTCAGCTACACAATAGGCTTTAACCTTTGTGAAGGTTGTTAGTGGTGGTCAAATACAAGTGCAGATACAGTGGTACCTCAAGTTTCGAACAGCTCCCAACTCGAACAATTATGTAAGTGTATTTTTGCAAGTGCTTTTGTAAGTGTATTTTTGGGGGTTTGAAATGGACTAATCTAATTTATGTTATTTACTAACAATGATGATCTGATACGAAATGTCATCATATCAAAAACAATGTACTCAGATCACAACATAATCGGCAGACGATGCAACATTCCCCAATGAAAAGCAGGGGTGTCACTAGCACGTTAAGAGACAACACAGCAAGTGTCAGGGGCCCAAGACTGTTCAACTGCCTCCCAGCATACATAAGGGGGATTACCAATAGACCCCTGGCTGTCTTCAAGCAGGCACTGGATAAGCACCTAAAGTCAGTACCTGACCAGCCGGCTGTGGTTCGTACGTTGGATTGCGTGCGGCCAGCAGTAACAGCCTGGTTGATCAGGCCCTGATCCACCACGAGGCCTGGTCATAGACAGGGCTGCGGGGGCGTTGACCCTCGGAACTCTCTCCAGGTCCAAGTATCAGCACTTGAATAGCCTTATGGAATGAATTAAGTTCGTAACACGAGGTACCACTGCATTAATCTAAATTTTATTATTATAGCAAGTAAGTAAGTAAGTAAGTAAGTAAGTTTATTCAGGTATACACAAATACAGTTACATAGAATTATCATACATAGCAGCATATGTGTAGAGAACCTAGGATAACCCAAAAAAGTCAGACAGAGTGACTTATTTCCATTGGGGTCCTTTTACCTTATTATTATAGTATAAAGGTTATAATATTTTCTTATTATTCTACAATGAAGATAACATCTTATTATCATACTAAAAAGACTATCTGCTACACCAAGGTCATTAAGACTATCTACAATACGAGGGTCATTACAAGGAATAAGGTAAAATTTACACGTATGTTAGCTAAAAAATAGAAAATCATTCCCCTCCCTTTCTGTAGCTACATTCATCAGACACCTTTTGGCACTCTTCTTGAACTGGTTCATGCTATGACTGGCTTTGACATGTGCGGGTAGTCTGTTCCATTCCTTTATTGCTGTACAATAAAAGGTGTTTGAAGCCTGGCCACTGACTGTGGGTACTACAAAGTTGTGCTCTCTCCCCCTAGTACTATGATTGCTTTGGTTCCCAACCTTGACAAAATTGACAGCAAGATATTCTGGACATTGTTTGTGAGCAATTTTATAAACATGATTTAGCTTCAGTTGTTTTACTCTGTCTTCAACATTCAGCATATCCAACTGCTGTAATTCTTCCTGGCCTACATGTTCTCTTGGTCCCAGCCCCAGGATGAATCTTACGATTTTGTTCTGGGTGATTTGCAGTCTATCTTTCAGTTTTTTTGTCAAGGCAGAGTACCAAGAAGAGCAAGCGTAATCCATATGGCATTGTATAAGGGCTAGACATAGGGTCCTGCGAGCCTCAGTAGGTAGACACTGTGCTTGTCTATACAGGAACTTCAGTTTGGCATTCGCTTTCTTTACTACACTGTTCCCTATCAATTCTCCTGACATGCATGGGTCAAAGGGGATTCCCAAATATTTTACTGATGAAACCAAAGTGATGGGCTCCCCATTACATTGAACATTAAAATTATTTACCCTTCTCAGTTTATGTTTCGTGCCAAAGAGAATGGCTTCAGTTTTCCCTAGGTGTAATGATAGTTTGTTGTCTACTAACCATTTGCTGCAGGACTCCAGTTCCAGTGTTAAAACATTAGCAATATCTTGTGGGTCTTTACCTGACACTAACAGAGCACTGTCATCTGCATACAGTAGGAGTTTGCACTTGACACTGATAGGCATATCATTGACATAACATAAGAATAATAAGGGACCCAGAATACTACCTTGGGGAACTCCACATGTTATCGGCAGGGGTTCTGATTCTGTTTTGTTGATTTTGACTATTTGTCTCCTGTTGCTAAGGTAGGACTTAAACCAGTCTACAGAACCTATACCAATAGCTTGAAGTTTATTACATAATATATTGTGGTTGACAGTATCGAAGGCCTTTTGCAGGTCTAAGGTTACCATGCCTATGAGGTTCCCCTATGACATTTCAGTTCTCAGGTAATCCATCAGATTAATAAGGGAGGTGTCGGTTGAGTAGGATCTTCTAAAGCCCGATTGATAGCTATGGAGAATGTTGTTGTCATTAAGGTTTACCTGGAGAGAGTTACCTGGAGAGAGTTTCGGGGGTCAACGCCCCCGCGGCCCGGTCTGTGACCAGGTCTCCTGGTGGATCAGCGCCTGATCAACCAGGCTGTTGCTGCTGGCTGCACGCAAACCAACGTACGAGCCACAGCCCGGCTGATCAGGAACTGACTTTAGGTGCTTGTCCTGTGCCAGCTTGAAGACTGCCAGGGGTCTGTTGGTAATCCCCCTTATGTGTGCTGGGAGGCAGTTGAACAGTCTCGGGCCCCTGACACTTATTGTATGGTCTCTTAACGTGCTAGTGACACCCCTGCTTTTCATTGGGGGGATGGTGCATCTTTCTGCCAAGTCTTTTGCTTTCGTAGTGAGTGATTTTCGTGTGCAAGTTCGGTACTAGTCCCTCTAGGGATTTTCCAGGTGTATATAATCATGTATCTCCCCCTCCTGCATTCCAGGGAATACAGGTTTAGAAACCTCAAGCGCTCCCAGAAATTTGAGGGGGTTTTATCCCGTTATGCGCGCCGTGAAAGTTCTTGTACATTTTCTAGGTCGGAAAATTTCACCTGCCTTGAAAGGTGCTGTCAGAGTGCAGCAATTTCCAGCCTAGATAGAACAAGTGACCTGAAGAGTGTCTTTCATGGGCTTGGCCTCCCTAGTTTTGAAGGTTCTCATTATCCATCCTGTCATTTTTCTAGCAGATGCGATTGATACAATGTTATGGTCCTTGAAGGTGAGATCCTCCGACATAATCACTCCCAGGTCTTTGACGTTGGTGTTTCGCTCTATTTTGTGGCCAGAATTTTTTTTGTACTCTGATGAAGATTTATTTCCTCATGTTTACCATATCTGAGTAATTGAAATTTTCATCGTTGAACTTCATATTGTTTTCTGCAGCCCACTGAAAAAATTTGGTTGATGTTCCGCCTGGAGCCTTGCAGTGTCTGCTATGGAAGACACTGTCATGCAGATTCGGGTGTCATCTGCAAAGGAAGACACGGTGCTGTGGCTGACATCCTTGTCTATGTCGGATATGAGGATGAGGAACAAGATGGGAGCTAGTTTCTGTGCCTTGTGGAACAGAGCTTTTCACCGTAGCTGCCTCGGACTTTACTCTGTTGACGACTACTCTCTGTGTTCTGTTTGTGAGGGAAAATTTTAGATCCATCGACCGACTTTTCCTGTTATTCCTTTAGCGCGCATTTTGTGCGCTATTCGCCATGGTCCACTTGTCGAAGGCTTTTGCAAAGTCTGTAAATATTACAAACTGCATTCTTTTTGTCTTCTAGTGCATTTAGGACCTTGTCGTAGTGATCCAGTAGTTTGAGACAGGCAGGAGCGACCTGTTCTAAACCCCTGTTGCCCTGGGTTGTGTAACTGATGGGTTTCTAGATGGGTGGTGATCTTGCTTCTTGGACCCTTTCAAAGATTTTTATGATATGGGATGTTAGTGCTATTGGTCTGTAGTTCTTTGCTGTTGCTTTACTTGCCCCCTTTGTGGAGTGGGGCTATGTCTGTTGTTTTTAGTAACTGAGGGACGACCCCGTGTCCAGCTCCCTCTCCATAGGATGGAAAAGGTCCTGATAGGGGCTTCTTGCAGTTCTTGATGAACACAGAGTTCCATGAGTCTGGCCCTGGGGCAGGGGTGCATGGGCATGTCATTTATCGCCTGTTCGAAGTCATTTGGCGTCAGGATAACATCGGATAGGCTTGTGTTAATCCCAAATTTTGTGGCTCTCTCATAAAAAATTCATTTTTTATCTTCGACTTCAGTCTGGTTAGCGGCTTGCTAAAAACTGAGTCATATTGGGACTTGAGTAGCTCACTCATTTCCTTGCTGTCATCTGTGTAGGACCCATCTTGTTTAAGTAGGGGCCCAATACTGGACGTTTTTAATAAAGTTGGTAAGAATTACCGACAATATGTAAAGTAAAAGGACACAAGTGCAACTAATGTGACATTTATTGTGGAAAACTTTTCGCTCTCCAGAGCTTTTAAAGGGAAGAAATCGGGGGTTTTCTTTCGTTTCATTTAGGCTTTTAGTTCTTCCCGTTTCCTGACTCCTATGGGTTTTTTTTAGCTTAAGTTCGAGCTTGCATTTCTTGCCAGTGTCCCCCTGCGATTTCAGATATTTGACCTTTTTTTAGCCGCTCTGTTATTCTTTTCCGTCCCCTGAAAAGGGGGAGCGCCTGTTCTTTTATTTTCATCTACCCCTCCTTTTTTTTGAGGAATAACCTTGTGCATACACGGTCCCACCGATTTAAATTGTCTGGGCATAAGTTTGGGTCTGTGTTGTTAGATATCTTCCAGTTTATCGGTTTAGGATTGTTTTATTTGGGTCCACTTTATTTTTTGTTTTTAAATTTAAATTTTGGGGAAAGCTCCCTCGTGACTAGCTCTTTTTGCGGTCTGGGGGCTCACGCAACATGTCTAAACCCTAAATTATGTTTGATCTGATATATTTTTTTTGATATGGTGACTTTCTTATAATCCCCTTGTGTGAAATGGGGTTAGTGTATTCTCCGCTGTAGGCTCTTTTTTTGCTGGTTTAAATTAAATTTTTGCAGAGTTTTAAAAAGCTCGTGTGAGTTGAGTTTTCATCAGAGCTCCCCTGGTGTTATTACTGAAAAACAATATTATTTGCTATTTTTCTCCATTTTAGGTGCCTTAATTGAAGTCCCCCAGGGCAAAATGTTGGGTGCAGGACTGGAAGTTTCCAGACAGTGGCAATTTTTAAAAGCTGTTCCCGGAATTGCTGGGATTTGATCCGGGGGCTTTTAGACTACCACAATGACTAGGTTTTGGTTTCGACCTTTCTGCTAAAAAATTCCACTAAACTTTGAGGCATTAAGCAGTTTGTGCAAACAAGTGACTTCAAGTATAGGCCCAACCCCCCCCTTTTTCCTGTTCACTCTGTCAATCGATAGGTTGTAACCTGGGATCCATTTTCGTTGTCCAAATGATCCTTTTTGTGGGTCTCAGTGAAAGCCGCGAACTTGCCTTTGCCTCTGCAAGCAGTCCCGGGGTGAAAGGATTTTGTTGTTTGTTGCTGCTTTAAACCCCTGTATATTTGCAAGAAGAATGTTATCGGACTGGTGGATTGTTGGTATGGGGGGGGTTTTTTTTTTCCGGCATTATTTTCTGTATCTGTGGTTTGGAGTGGAGGCCATCGACGGGGTTTCCCACCCGGAATGACTGTTTTGGTTTTCGATTTCCTTTTTCCTCCCAGTTTTTTTCCTTCTGGCACTAAAAAACCTCTCCCTCTGCGTGGCTTTGGCTACCCGGTTTTCCCCATGGCCTGGTTTTTTTGTATCTTTTGTCCCTTTGATGGTATGCCGGGCAATTTAAGTTATGCCAGTTTTCCTGTATGAAGGGGTAACTTTTCAGGTGAAAAAGCTTACGGGAAAGGGATTTGCATTTTCCTTTGTCAATGGGCATGCATTTTCTAGGGGGGTCATAGTTGCCGTCCATCTGTTTTTCCAGATTTTCCCTGCCAAAATCCAAGTGCTATATGTGCACGGTTTGGGTTTTCCGCTTCCCTTTGGGGTTTCTGTGCTGTATTCCCGGGGTGCATTTTTCCCTGTTTTTTCTTCTATCCTCCCTACCCCAAACAATGGAGCTCCCCCAGTTTTTTTTGGGTAATTTATCCTCACTATTGTATTGAAGTCCTCTTGTTTCATTTCCTGGTTTTTATTTGAATAGGTTTTATTTATCTTTGCTCATTGTTTCCCCTATTCCGTCCCCTAAGGGGTCATTTATTTATTCCTTCCTGCAAATTTTTTCCCGTACGGGACAAAATCTCCACTTCACCATTATGCCCCTTCCCTTCCGGGACACACTCCACTTTCCCAAAAACCCATTCTCCCAACCCCCTCCACT